CACCGACACTGACACCGTCGACGTCAGAGGCCATTTAATTAAATTTGTCTTCTCTGTCAAACGACATCGTCGACGCTGAACAATTTTTCAAATTCTCCTTTTTGACTCCAAATTTCATCCTTTTTGCTTCATTTTGGCTCCAAGTTCTAAAAATCAACAACCTACAATAAAACATAAAAAATGCCTTCCATTAAAGTATAATATCACCCACTCATTAAAATGTAATATCACCATAAATGAGTACAAAATATGGGTTTAAAAATGCATATAACTCATTAAAATGTAATATCATCATAAATGAGTACAAAATATGGGTTTAAAAATGCTTATATTTTTTGTGTATCAATGTCTTGAGACGGGGTGTCTAAACAGAGGCATCGGCATGTCAGAGAGTGGCATGCTTCCCATGGTGTGAACCAGATACAGTTTTGGGTAACTTCTTCATCTTTTCCTTTGAAACTTTAGAAACATCCTTATGACTGGTATATGGTAGAATTCTCGGACCCAGACGTGACTTAACCGGTCAACGGCCTGTTGGTCTTGGAGCAGGGACAATAGAATCGGTGGTGATGATGGTAGTATCAAGCAGACAAAGTTTCAATTACTCTTTGAGATCATCTAGCAAATTTAACATCTCTTAGAATTTCTTTCTTCATGTGAGGGGATATTGCACATCCAACTCGTTTAAGTAATTCACTGACTGAACAACCCTTTTTGGTAGCTAGTCTCTGGAATATTGTACTAACTCGGGTGATAGGAGGGGGTTTATTCCTCTCCCCACCATGTCCATGAGGTAATGGTAAAGTAGCAACAATATTCTGGATACTTTCATACCCATTGGTTTCTATTAAGGGATGGAACCTACTCCCTCGCAGAGGTGGATATGTCTTCGACAATCCTAGTTCCTCCTGATGAGGAATTTCATCAACAGACACATCTTTAGGAATTTGAGCATTAGTAGTATTCCAAATATTTCAACTGTGGTTTCTTTTTTGCGTATGAGTTAATGGTGCAGACTTCGAACTTGATCCAATTTCAAATACAGATGGTAGAACAGAAAATCCTTCGGTTGTATCCTCAACAATCACGAACTCTTTTCCCTTAGCAGAAATGGGAACAACATACTTTTTCAGGTTCCGTGGTGGCAGCAGTCTTTACCTTCTTGTAAGAAGAGAAATCTTGAGAACAGTTCAGGTTGAACTCAGCAGACGGCTCCTTAACTTTTAGAGCAACAACTTTCATTATGACAAAGGAAGCTTTTTCGAGCACTACTTCCAATTCATCGAATTCGGTTCCAAATTTGATGAGGGGAGCGACATTGCGAGCATCGTGGCTCATCGACAGGTTTCAAGAGAAAGTGAGCGTGGGTAACGCCATTGCAACAACTTCAAAAATAAAGCTCCTGGGGTTAGTTATTTGGCCAACACTGTGTAACTCTAGTGTAAACACTAAAAATTAACAAAGGTCGATCTGTAGACTGGGCAGTCTTTAGTTAGTTTTTGTTTGTGAAGATTTTAAAATTTTGTTAAAATATTTTGAAAGTAGAGGGATTTAATTAATTAAGAAAAGTTAAAGAGAAAGCGCAGCATGGCACAATTCAGTTTAATTTACAAAGTAGCAAACCAAAATCGAAAGGGCATGAAAAGGAAAGTAAAGTTTTGGACCCAATGAGAGACCGACTTTACAATGCACAATGCCCAGGCAGAACTAGTCCACCAAGAAACCTATAGGGGGTCCGACCCTACACAAAAGATAAAAGTCTTAATGATCTCATGAACCTCTCTGTTCAAGGATGATTGAACAAACGATCATGAAGTCCAAATGAGTTTACCGTACTTACCCAAGAAAGAAATGGGTGAAGCATGCCAACAGAAGAAGGGTAATTTGGTCCATAAGGGGCATGGACACATTACTGATGTATTAAGACAATATTCCCTGATTTAAATGGAGAGAAAAGCTATTCCCCAGCTTATGGAAGCTATCAATCACCGGAATCGTAATGTCGTTACCCGCTTCAGAGGGACATTTTAATTTACACACACACACACACACACACACACACACAGATATATATATATATATAATTTTAGAAAATAAACAAATCAAACTGATCCCATATCTTTCATAATTTAAATGAGAGAGCACCGCACCTTATGCTATGTATCCATTCCGAAAGATAGACACATGGCTTGACGGTGAGACTCAATAAAATATACTAAGAAATGTATGACACTCGTATGGTTTGCGAAACCATTTTATTATAAGCCTATAAGTTCCCCTATTTAATATAAAAAATTAAATATATTTTATATTAAGCTAGGTTCAGAAAAGCTTCCTATAAGGGTAAGCCCCTACAGTTAATTACATCTTAGATAACCGAAGGCACCTAAGAAAACTCTCGATAAGAAGCAGGGGATATTATCATCAAGAAGTTCAACGGATCAGACAAAGAGGTGTGGAATGGGAATGACTCACACTTGGAACATTTATTTTTGAAATCCAAAGGAAGAAGAACCAAGGTATGTCACAGATTTTGAGGAGAACCTCGATGACTTCTCAATTTACCCTATGGTTTGGTTTCAATTTATAGGAGAACTATTTTTAAGTGTTTCATCCTGCCAATTTTATTAATTAGGACTTACATCCATGTGAAATGATCACACAAATGACTTGAAAGATGTGAGGATTTAGGTCGTGACAAACGAAAACCTCGGAATCCTAAAACAATTTATGACTTATATTGTATAGCAGAACCATACAAAGGCCTAAAAAAAATTGAGAATTTATGTCGCACTAAACGGACAACCTCAAAGTCCTATAGCTTGGTTGTTCAATTCTAAGGAAAGGTTTAGCTGGTGTAGACATGTTTTGCTGTTGAAGATGGTCGTGCTGCCCACAATGCTAGCTCCAAGCTCCTCGTCGTAGCAAGTTTAAGTTTTCTAATATGTCAAGTCATGATGTCAAATCAAGTGTTTCCTAAGGTTATGGTTATTTAAATATCACGTGGAATGTTAAAGTTGATTAGAGTGACACCAGTTAGGATCCCACGGTTCCCTCTTTCTTGTATCATTATTTTCTTGACCTTTGATATTTGAGCGACAATTTGAAAGCTTGATTTGTAAATAGCAATTTTTTGGGTACACTCTCCTTTCTGCTTTTTCCTGCTATTCATCCCCCTCTCCTTCTGTCGCAATCTCCTTCTTGGTATTAAAGTTTGGTGCAAACATTTTACCCCAGCCACACATTTTTTTTAGGTTAGTGGTCAAATATCTCAAGTAAATTCCTAGGTCACATAAGAAATAAGGGCTTTTACAGGAAATTACCTTCAATGAGAGGTCTTAATTTTTTCCCTAGCCACCTTTTGTTATCCTTGTTGGTGGTTGTTTCTCCTTTCTTCATATTCAACAATTGAATTTTGGTGTTTTAGGACAGTGGCTAAGGGTATCCACAAATTTGAAAAGTTTTGATATTTTATGCTTAACTTTGAGTGCTATGTGTGTAAATTTGAAAGTTATGCCCTAGCCACCTTGTTATCCCTTTCTTGGTAACAATTTCTCTCTTCTTCATATTCTACCATTGAGCTTTGGTGTTTTAGGTCTTCATGGCTATAGATATTCAAAATTATGAAACTTTTTGATGCTGTGTGTGTAATTTTGAAAGTTTTCCCTTAGCCACATCTTGTTATCCCTCTCGTGATGGTCGTCTCTCCATTCTTCATATTCACCAACTAAACTTAGTGTTTTGAGACTTGGTGGCTAATGAATGATATCACACTTATGTAATTTTTTGACGCTTTGTGTGTAAATTTGAGCACAATGTGTGTAAATTTAAAAGTATTGGTCCTAAAGTTTCATATTTACATATAGGCGTTTATATACTTACCACATAATTGGTTTGCTTTGGGGTTCTTTATATATATATATATAAGAATTTTATTGCTCCATAAAATTTAATTTACATGAGGCAGAGGATCCACTAACATGCAACATATAAAATTCGCACTCTAATAGATGCTCTACCCGCAAAACAAACGCACACATACACAAATATATATATATATATATATATATATATATACACACACAGAGAGAGAGAGAGAGAGAGAACAACATTAACAAGGATTGATCATGCATACAAGATAATTCTTATGCATTTATGTATATCACCCCTATTGTTTCATATTTACATATATTTACCACACAATTGATTTGCAAATATATATATTATCTTACATGCATGTAAATCTCTCTCTCTCTCTCTCTCTCTCATTTACAAAGACACGTACATATATGAAACTTTAGGTGTTACATATGAAAATGCATAGAATCGTGTTGTATGCATGTGTGCGCACACACACACACACATAAATGCTAGATGCTATATATATAAATGGATAGATGCATGTAAAACCTCCCAATACTTGTAACTGTTAAGTACATTTGGTTAATGACAGTCTCAATTTGTTTTCATTATTGAAGCTATGTATTCAGATTTTTCAAGTTGCAGTGATGAAAGATTAACTTAAATATACACTTGTAACTTGGTGGATTTTGGAATAAAAGCAAAAACCAGGACATGATCATATATGAGGATTGGAAGCAAAAAATAATTAAAATTCAAAAAGATGGATTGAACATTCATATACGCCAAATATATGCTCGCAAACATGTTCAGAAATTAGGGTTTGCCACTTTCAACTGGAGAAAATTAAAGACTAATAATTAATTACATTTAAATCAAACACTTAACAACTTTACGTAAATAGAAAGCAGTGCCCTATTTGAGGAAAAAATATTGAGTTTTGAGCTTTTTTTTTTTCCTCCGATGCATCCTGTACAATATGTGTATCTCATTCGTAGTCCAGATACAATATTTTTTTTATTTGAGATTAACCAAAATTTTTTTTTTATCCTTTAAACATAAAATATGATGTTTGAGTAATTTATATGTAAATAGAGGCGTTTGAAGTGCTCTATACGTAAAAGCACCCGTATCTATTCATATTTTGACTGCAAGTGCCACAATTTTTGCTCTAGGGCATACCTTGATTTTACGTTACCGGCCGTGACTATGTGCGGTTCACCGCCACTTTTTTGGCGCCGGGGCATTCAGTGATTTTATGCTTCACGGCCGCGAGAGCCTCACGAGGCTCATCGGTCAGCGCCGCAGGGCATTATCTTCTCCGCTGGCTCGTAGCCTCCGCTCTAAGGCATGCCAACGCAGGCCTCACCATTTTAAAATCTCTGTTTTCTTTCATCACATTTTCTTTTTATTTACTTTGCAGGATGACTTTGATTTTGGCGAGGCATCATCCGTTAACTCTAAGGAACACGAACGGATAGTCAATGGTGGCCTTGAAAGTGGAAACGCTGGGGAGCGAGGCAGTGAGGCCTGTGTTGAGTGGGTCACCTGCCCAGTGTGCACTGACTCAGTGCCAGCAGATGATTTGACATTGAATTCTCATCTTGGTATAAGCATCTGATTTTCCATCGCACCAAAAAACAGAATTTTGAAGCCAATTGTCATGGTTCTGGTTTTAAACGGAAAAGTTGCCATCTTGAAATGGATTATTAACCATTTCTCTTGTGCATTTTACCTTAATTTCTAATTTGCCCTGCTATTGAAGTTTGTCACACCCCGTGTCATGTTGAAGAGGCTTAATCATAAGTACTATACAAGCTTGGGAGTTTTATATATAAGTCAATAAGCACGAATATATAACTAGAAAGGGTCTGTTTGGGGCAACTGCTGTTATTTGAATAAATAATTGTGAAGTTGTTGTAGAATAAACTAGTGTTCAAGAAGTTGCAGCGGTTATTACAAATTAATTTTATTTTCAAAAGTTTGACCACAATTTTTTGACAACCATCACATTTAATCATGTCAGGTTGCAAAATGCAGCTTCCCATTGTAGCTTTTTGAAAAAAACAGACAACATAATTTTGTCAAACGCTTGAAAGTGCTATGCAACATTGCACCGGTACCCCAAACACAACCTAAACTAAACTTTATTCAAGTAGTATAAATACCAATAGTCTAAAATCAATGAAACAGTGTCATTTGACCAACAAGAAAAAGGCAACTATACGGGGTGAAAATCATTGTTGATTATCTAACTCTGAATCTTTATTCCTCTCTCTTTATGGTTTTACCATAACTGATTTGCCTTCTATGGATTTTACTCTCTCTCTCCCTCTCCCTCTCTCTCTCTTGAATCCACTCATTTATTTTTAATATTTTTTGATTGTGGAGAGAAGATGAGAATCTATGTAGAGGGGGAATTGTGGATATAAAAAGAAATAGCTGATTGAGAAGTTAAAGCTCGGATGTAGATAGACACAAGGAAGATAGGAAGTCAACATAAGGAAACTATAGAAGGGATTATGAATACCGGGAGGGGAAGACTAAAAAAGGCTTCATTTATTTCATTATGCACTATAATTTTATCTAACAATAAGTCTCTAGTCTTATAGAAATAACTTTATTGAAAGGATAAAATAATCCCAAGCAAATGTAAAAATATCAAACTAGTCCTTAATCATAAAAGTCATCTAAACCATTGAAACATAACTCGAAAAGGAAAATAAGCACCACAAATTCAAGATTGAAATAAATTTGCATTGCATCAATCTATATTATGCTATTATGGTTAAACTTTTTCTCATTATATCTCTCCTTAATAATTTATTTTCTTTCATTGCTAGATTTGCAATTAGTCTTTGTTGCTTGGTTTATTTATTGTAAGTTTATGGTTTTAGCAATGATTTGCAGATGCATGCCTTGCAAGAGGAAAAAAAAGAAAGTTGAGTCAACGCACTCTTTTGCAACTAAACTTCCTTTCGAAGTCAAGGACAAAAACATGCTTGATTGAAGCAAACAATCCTAATGTGGATGAATGTGAAAAAGAATTTTTTGAGGAGAAACAACTTTCTAGTTGTCATCACTCTGATGTTGTTATGCTGCATGAAAATTGTGAAAGATGTGAATCAGTTGAATGTTTAAACCATGCTCCTTCATACAACTCAGAATCTAGTCGTCTAACATCCATATTAGAATTAGCAGATGAAGGAGCTGTTAAAAGCAAGGCAGTACATCCACATTTTTCATCAACATTCTCTTCAATAATCAGGTCACCAAGAAGTGATTCATGTAAAGATAAAGGCACCAAACATGTTTATACTCTTGAGACTCTAATAGTAGGCCGACGATTTCATGAAAAAATTGAGTTGCGACATGTTGGAAAAGTTTATGCTCTAAGAGAGTTCCAGAATTTTAAGGATGACAATGCTATAAAGGTTTGGGTCTTCATTTGGTATAAAAATGTGATTCTATGAATTGATGGACTTATGTTTCTATGCCTAGGTGTTATGTGACTTTCAAGGATTCAAATGTTCGCTTGGATATTTACCACGACAACTGGCTAAATATTTATCCCCACTAATTGATAAATATCAACTCAATTGTGAGGTAAAGCAACTTCTAGTGATTATTATTATTTTCTTATGTGAAGTTGGGAAAATCCTAACTATGGTGATGAAGATTTTGTGATTTTCGAAATATGCAAGTGTTTTTTTGCAATTAGTAAGACCATTTGGAACCACCTGCCCCAATGTGTGCTATGCTTTTATATGCTTCCTAAGAATCTTTTCTGAAGGCAATTTTGATAAATTTTTAAACATTTATGGATTATTAGTTTTTAATATTTGTCCTCATAGATACTACATAGGAGATTTTTTAGCTATAAACATTATAAGCTAGATTACTATGTAGATTGCACAAATTATTAAACTAACATGATCATTCAATTTCCTTTAGAAAGATGAAAATTGTTACAGAGGGTAAGATGAAAAAGATGGATTATTATTTTTTAATATTTGTTCGATGATGGAGGATGTTCTAAGTCCAAATCATTAGAGAGGGTAAGATGAAAAAGAAACTCTAAATGCACAACTTGAAACGTTTTATAGACATAGCATGGATTTATGGGAGCATTCAATTTCCCTTACATAATTAATTTTATTCAGCTACATTAAATCATGAATATAGCCATCAATAAATAAGATTACAAGGGATGAAGTCAAATAAGTTATAAATCAAATTTAATCTTATTTAAAATCAATTCTAATCAAAATATTTAAATTCAAATTTAATATATTGTAAAGGAGCTAAACTTAATAAAGGAAATAAAAAAAAAAACAAATTTAGCTAAGAGTAAAAGTAGGCTAACAACGTCTTAAAGCTAGTTGTTTTTTTTTTTGCAGTTGGTTCGAATTGGTTTAGTTGGATTATGAAAAATCTAGCTTTTGCCAGTTTATTTTGTTAAATAATCAATAAGTTCTTATGACAAAATTATCTAGCCCCCACAAAGAGTCAGTTAAAAGAATTTTTAGAATGGACCATGGTGGAATAGGTGGCACCATGCAACCATTTGATGGAAAAGGCGAACAAAAAGAATTAGTCCAGTTATTGCATAAAAATTTGGAAGTTTGAGTTTTGGGTCACTCTGATTTTTATTTTCTTGTGAGGTCCTTGGAAAGTGGAGGGAAAATGGGGTACGTGGTGATTGTAGCACAAGCTAAGTTTCTAGTAGGTGTTGTTGAAATAAATTGTAATCTTCTAAAATGATGTACATCTTCTATGACAATGAGAAGTCCAATAGACGTTGAAAACATTAAATTGGAGGCTTTGATATATGAAAAAAACTTGATTGGAAAAACTGTCTCATGTTTACCATCATTCTCAAACTCGGATAGTTTATCAAAGCTAGATTTTGGCTCAACGTTTGATAAATTCATTCACTGATAAATTATAATTATCCTCAAGATCTAGTTTATCTTCCAAAAGATATGTGCCATCATAATTATATTTTCTTAAACACCATAAAGAAAAAAATTCATCACATTCAAGACATTTATCACTGTTAATATTTTTAAAGGGCAATCAACATATAGTAAAGTGATCATAAAATTATGTCTGCAATAACTAAAATAAAATTAAAAAATATAACAAAATGAATAAAAAAATCAAATTGGTGGTAGCCATTCGGTGTATTGTCACGACAACCCTATTTATTTTTAAGAGTCGAAGAACTGATCTCTTCGTTCGTAATTGACTGAGAGAGCGAGAGAAAGGGAGAAGCGTAAGTGAAGGAGAAGGAAGAAGAGGAGGAAGAGAGGAAGCGAGGCGAGAGTGAAATTGATTTCGATCAGGAGCACATCCTTACTTGTGGGTTGCTGAATGACACTTTCAAAAACAACGACGTAAGCATCGGGGAGCTCTGTGGTGCATGAAGGAAGAAAGGCCTCAAAACATTGTGGTTGCTACATGCGTCTAGGGCAAGGGAAGACGACACCGTTGTTTGCGTGCACAAGAGGTTTCACCGTGCGTATGCATGGCAGCTTCCTGTAAGAGAGTGGAGTTCGTGCCCGAGCCAAACGACCTCAACTGCGATGCAGGAAGGAAATATCTTGCGGCTCTTGCGTCTTGTGGTGAGAAAAACAACCTCCGCGAACTGTGATAGGTTGAGTCATTATCGAGGAAGAAAGAAGGGTTTCCTTTGTGGATGCTTGCATGGGCTGAGTCGCGACTGAAGGGAGAGGAGGGAGGTGACTTCCACATTGTGCTCGCTTGGAGAGGAAAAAGGAGAAGCTGATTGCGAAGGCAAAAATTTTTCCATACAGAGTGCGGACGCAGCTCTGCATGCAGACTCCAGTAATATGCCGCCACGTGTGCTACACCGTGCCCACCCCATAAAATATTTAGAAAATGAATTTTTTTATGCTTGACCCGGCCCACAGCAACCCGGATGCTTCGAAAAGGTAAAACACGTCGTTTGGACTGTCCAGAAATACAGTTTCGGAAAAGGTTTCCCATTTTGAGACTCTGCTGACCCAAGGTTTCCGCTTCAATCTTCATTTCTGCTAGGGTTTCCCATTGCCGCACGCTGTTGAGCTAGGGTTCGCATTGTGTTTGCACAGAGGTTCGCTTTATGTAGGGCTGTGCTAACTTGAGGTTTAGTGCGGTACAGGCGTTTGTGAGGGGTTAGCGTTTATTGTGCGAACTCATGTTATTGTTTTTCTTTTGAAACACGATAACAATGGAAGAGATAGAATATGGAGTTGGATGATCCTTAGAAGATGCAGTTGGAAGAGCCGAAGAAGACGGATTTGAAAGAGCCGAAGAAGACAAATTTGAAAGATTCGGAGAAGATGGTGAAGAAAGATTGTAAGAAGGAGACCAAATAATCCAAGGAGGACATTGAAGTGGCTAAGAGCCAGCAAAACCTACTCAGGTGATTTTGGTTGTTCTTTTTCATTCAATAATACCCTGATACTACCTAATACTGCTAAAATAACTCTAACTTGAGCTAATTAACTACACACTCTCCACTTACAACACAGTAACACTACGATATTATCAAAAAATGGTGCTAAAATAATTAAAAAATTACACAAAAATAAAACTTCAATACTATAACAATAATGTCATAGTATTAGATAAATAACACCACAGTGCCACCACTATAGCACCGATAGAATGCTAAATGATGGTAAAATAACTCCAAAATAACACTAAAATAACCCAAAATAACTACTCAACAACTCCAAAATAACTCAACAACCCAAAATAACTCCAAAATAACTCCAGAATAATACAAACCCAAAATAACTCCAAAATAACTCCAGAATAATTAACCCCAAAATCACATGTTGGTATTCTTTTAGAGTTATAATGATAATTTGTTGCTGTATTCATGTATGTTTATGAATTGAAAGGCCATGAATAGTAGTTGTCATCTATCGGCAGTTAGAGATGTTCTTTATAAGGTCTGACCTACCATTTCTGAGGAAACCTGGACTAAATTGAAAACAATGAATTTGTATCAATCTTTTGAACTCCTTCCGTATCCTTAAGATTATATCCTGACTATGCACATATTGAAATATTGAGATATTGATCGATTGGTATTCAAATTGGGTGGGAGTTAAGATTTGATGCATATCAAGTTGCTTTGATGATAGGTGTCGGCAGCCGGAGCTCCGTGTCGTGGGTCGTTTCCGTCGCCACCAATTCCCGTCGTCATGTCTTTGATTTGTTTGAAAGGAGTCGCCACTCGGTTTATCTATTTTATTGCCCTAATCTCTAAGTAACTTATTCTTTTGAATTATGTGAAAGATTCTCAGATGTTAAGAAATTAGGAGAAAGAATGAAAGGGCTAAAATAGAAATCATGAGAAAAAGAAATATTTGGATGATTTTCATTATGGCAGTCATCATAGAGAAAATGATTTCTCGTATAAAGAAAACTGCACGAAGAATTTGATAACTAGAGATTTAGGTATATCACATATTATGAGTTCTTCTTTTTTCTATAGGAACAAGTTCCTATAGTTAATTATATCTTAGACAATCGAAATTGTCTAAGAAAACCCCTGATTAACGTTAACACTCGTTCTTCTAAGAAATGTCAAGGTCAAGGAAAGAAACATCTAATTTTTATTCCTAGGGTAATAGATTTCTAAGAATTCGATCCTACCATAATGTTTTTGTTTCGTTTTGTTTATTCATGTCATTTTTGTTTTTGTTTTGTTTTATATTTTGTTGTTGTCATTTTGTTTAAAGGTTTTGTTGTTTTGTTGTCATATCTTGTTGTCGTTGTTTTGTTTTATTTTATTTTATGTCATGTCATTATTACGAACTATTGATATATACTAGTTGATGTGGTATATATATAAATCATACCAGAAAAGAACACAGATTTACGTGGTTCGACAAATTTCATACGTCCACGGAGTTGTAGATGATTTTACTACTTGAAGAATTTATACCAGTCGATCACCTCGACTTACAAGAGGAATCTTTCACTTCGTTGCTCGAATGTTTATTTCTAGGGTAATAGATTTCTAAGAATTCGATTCTACCCTAATGTTTTTGTTTCGTTTTGTTTATTCATGTCATTTTTGTTTTTGGTTTGTTTTTTTTTTTGTTTTTGGCAGTTGTCATTTTGTTTAAAGGTTTTGTTGTTTTGTTGTCATATCTTGTTGTCGTTGTTTTGTTTTATTTTATTTTATGTCATGTCATTATTACGAACTATTGATATATACTAGTTGATGTGGTATATATATAAATCATACCAGAAAAGAACACAGATTTACGTGGTTCGACAAATTTCATACGTCCACGGAGTTGTAGATGATTTTACTACTTGAAGAATTTATACCAGTCGATCACCTCGACTTACAAGAGGAATCTTTCACTTCGTTGCTCTCTCTTCTTCTCTCTCTGTTCTTCTCTCTTTACATCGAGATACACCGAAGAAACTCTATACTGAGATACATCGAATAAGACAAACTTACAAGAGAAATAAACACAATTTCTTTTCTACCACAAGCCACCAAGAATAAGCCAAGGGAGAACAATTTTCTTTTTCTTCTTTCTTCTTCTTTCACCGTAAGAAACTACTTCTTG